CTAGTAGAAACCGAGAATATGATTGGAATGAAAGGGATTATTATCATCAGGGTGTGAGAAGTCCAATACCAATATACAATCGGTATGAACCATTACAATATAACCACTCACAGCAAGGTTTTTTAGAGAAAGACAGAGGAGGGAGGAGTCCAGGAAGGGAGCAAAAGAAAAGCCCCATAAAAGGAGGAGGGGATGCAGAGCAGGAACAAAAGAACAAAAGAAAAAGAGATCAGTAGGGAGGGGAGTATTTAACTTGAGTGGGATAGACTTATCCCGGGAGGAAATAGAAGTCTTGGATAAAGGCTTAAAATATGCCCCCCAGAAAACTGCTAATCAATTTGATATCTATATAGATATGCTGAAATTTACGAGGAAATTAAATATTAAAAAGCATTTTTTAGGTATCCCCAATGTACCAAATACTACTACAAATCAAACACCTAGTACCATCATCCACACAAATTTGAGGAACAAATCACTTTTCAATCCGCAGATCCCTAGGAACAACCAGATTCAAGTTTTCAAAAAGATGGTTCAGCAAGATATTGAGAAGTTGGAAGTTGCACAAATTTATAAAAACAGAACGGTTCAAATAGGCATGAAAAAATTGGTGCAACGAGACAATATAGTGATAAGACCGGCTGACAAAGGGGGTGGGATTGTGGTTCTTTCCAAAGAACAGTACCTCCAGGAATTGAATTCCCAACTAAGAGATACAACCACATATAATATACTTCAAAAAGATCCTACAATGCTTTATAAGGAAGAATTAAAGAAGCTAATAAAAGAAGGATCAGTGAATAAAATTTTAAATAAAAAGGAATCAAGGTACTTGGTCCCGGATACATGTAGGGTTCCAGTTATCTATTTAGTTCCAAAAACACACAAAGACCTGACAAACCCGCCAGGAAGGCCAATAGTCAACGGCATCGACTCGGTCCTTGCCCGGCTGGGCCAATATATAGATACATTCCTGCAACCGTTAGTAAAAGATATGCCAGCTTACCTTAGGGATACTAAACATCTCATTCAAATAATTGAGAAGATCCAGTGTAATCCAGATTTGTGCTTGGCGTGCGCCGATGTCTCTTCACTCTATACCATTATTGACCATGAGGATGCTATCACCTCTACAAAGTGGGGATTAGAACAATATAGTTCATTACAATGGAAACAACAAAAATATATTATTGACTGCCTTGATTTTTGCATTACGCATAACTATTTCTGGCATGACAACCAATATTTCCAGCAAATTAGAGGGGTTGCTATGGGGGCTCGCTATGCACCCAGTGTAGCAAACCTCTTTAGGGCTCATTGGGAACAAGAGGCAGTTCATTATCAAACCCCACGCCAATTACTTCTGTATAAGAGGTTCATTGACGATGTAATCATCCTATGGGAAGGGGAGATAGATAGTTTGCAAATATTCCTAAACACCCTTAACAATAATGACAAGAATATTAAATTCTCTTGGGTGACTAGTAAGGAGGCAATAAACTTTCTGGATTTAAACATTGAAGTAAGGGGGAACCGTTTAGTTACTACTACATTTTTCAAGGGCGTTGACCGCAACGGTTATATCCCGTTGGATAGCTGCCATTACCCCCAATGGCTGCTAAACATCCCTAGGGGACAATTTGTCAGGTTGCGGAGAAATTGCACTAATAAAGAGGACTATGACCAACAAGTCAAGATCCTTGGTAAAAGGTTTGAGGAAAAGGGGTACAAGAAGGAATCCACTGCAGACACCATAAAGGAGGTAAGGAAAATAGAAAGGGCCCAACTATTGAAGGACAAGCAGAAGGAAAAAACATCTGAGGAACAGATACCAATTATCCTTGATTTTAATACACAATATAAAAAAGTGGAAAAAATCTTCTTAAAATATTGGCCCATCCTTAGATCAGACCCAATGTTAGGGAAATGTCTAGGGGATAAGCCTAAATTTATATATCGGAGGGCCCCAGCAGCCAGGTCACAATTAGTTAAAAATGTAATTGATCCCCCAAAAATTAAACAGCAAACTACGGCGCTTGATTTGAAAGGGTTTTACCCCTGAAAGACATGCTATGCATGTAGGGAAATGAGGGGTACAAATACAAGGAAAAAACAGTTCCAGGCAAATAATACAGGGGTGACCTATACCATAAAAGATTTTATTTCATGTCAAACCAAAGGTGTAGTCTACTGCCTGGAGTGTAAATGTGGACTACAATATGTGGGGAGGACAAAAAGGCCGATGTGGAAAAGAATACGGGAGTATGTGCAAAATATAAAAAAGGGCCAAACTAAGCACAGTATCCCAAAACATTTTTCCACACATCATCATAATGACCCCACATCACTTAAATTTTGGGGTATCGAAAAACACAAAGGCCATTGGAGGGGTAGCAATATGGTGAGAGATCTTAGTCAAAAGGAATCCAAATGGATTTTTTTGATGAGGACGCAAGCCCCAAGAGGCCTGAACGTCGAGTTCGATCTTAATAGCTTCATCAGCAATTTTTAGCGCTTTATAGCAACTAGTTATGCGTAAGGGAGTTGTGCTTTGGCTAATTAACACTTAAGAGCAATATTGGGGTTAATATGTAGGTTCTATGAAAAGATTACACCCCGTTATACCCTAAGGGGAGTATTTAATGTGTAGTGGTCATAGTGTTGGTTTTTCATATATTATATTTTTTTTATATATTTTTTATTAATATTTTATTATTATTTTTCATTGGTTTTTATACATATTTTTATATATAAATTGTATTATTGAATACATAAGGTCCTATTAGTATATATGTAATATATTTTTATGTATCCTGCAATGGAGATTGGTCTGTAACATCACACCACTGGTGGTACTGACAGTCAGTGGTATCTAGCGATCTGATAAACATTAGATTCTGGGTCCCTATGACAGTACGTTACACTTATTAGTGGCTTTTACTTACCAGTTAAATTGAGTAAACAATTAAGTTTTTAAAGTCTTTTATATAATTAATCCTATTGTCCAGACACAGGGGAATTAATAAATTATGTTTGTTTTCCCCTGTGTTCTTTTTAACCACTTTCTAACACTTGGAGTAAGGGTATAGCATAGGTTGCACCCTTAGATGTCCGCATAATAGATAGAAAGTCGGACTCTAAGAATATGGCCGTGTGGGTACCGCCCCCCCTCTGTTAATTGAGTGGCTGAGAGGATAAAAGCAGAGACCAGGCCCATAGTAGGCGTAATCCTGAAGAAGTCACGTGCTATTAACCGTGACGTAACGCGTAGATACGCCAGTGGGAGGAGCCTAACGGACCGCTCGGTGACGTCATATCCGGCGTCGCCGCCATCTTGGTCCACCTTTTCTCGTGAGGATCCACACAAGCTAGTACACCCATGGTGTGGTGCAAATGTGCATGTTCAACCACACAAATGTGAGTAGTACCATCAGTGTGGCTTTATTAAAAGGTTTTGCAGTTTTACACTATGTGGATCTTTTTTTGTCCTATGTGGGGTGTTTATGGAGTAAGTGCGTATTGATATCTGGAGGCACCTAGTGGAAATCAGTACCCACCAGAGGAGGAAGTACCACCACCACTGCTGAGGAGACCCCCAAGGTGTTGTGGGAGGATTACCTAAGAGGCAATTGTCTGGCTCATTGGTCCTGCGGGGCCTGGGCAGGAAGGTGAGGGGGCACCCCTGTCATTGTGGATTCACGTTTTAAGCTGGGAGCACCTGCATGAATTTTGTGTGTTTCACATAACAAGACGGATTTATATTACTGGGAGGACTCACAGCACCTGTGTTGTTTATTTATTGGTCTTTTATTTAAGTATGTGGATAGGGCATTTATAGCGCTGCACTGCTTTATAATTATACTTCTTTACATATGGTGTGGAGTCACTCTGCACATGCTCAGTTTGGAGAGGTTTTTTTTTTTTTTTCTTGGGAGAGTGCATGTGACCAGCACAGGACCAATAAGCACTGTCCAGACAGAGGTCAAGGATTCTGCATCCTGCTAGAGCAAAATTAAAACTCCTACAAACTTTAACCAGTGCTCTGCTGGACACTGATAGAAGTCACAAGACTGCTCTGACTGCTTGTGAGAAAAGGTATTTAGCAGTTTATATTTACTAATATAATTGCACTTTCATGTTGTGTGTTCTGTGGGAGACCAGATATAGTGAATGCAGGGTCCTGAGTTTAGTAACACTTTTATGTGGCGTTAACCCACCCTTTGCATCTATAGCAGTCTCCACTTTTCTGGCAAAGCTTCCTACAAGATTGTTGAGTGTATCTGTGGGAATTTCTGCCTATTAAGCTAAAAGAGCATTTGTGAGGTCAGGCACTGATGTTGGATGACAAGAAATTGCTCATAACTGATGTTCCAGCTTATCCCCTAGGTGTTGAGTAGGGATAATGTCAGGGCTTTGGTTTGAAGGATCTCAAGTGGCTTACACAAACTTATCAAACCTAGTTTTGTGCACTGGGACACAGTCATGCTGAAACTGAATTGGGTTTTCCAAAAACTTCTGCTACAAGCTTGTACATGCACAATTGTATAAAAATGTCTTTGTGTGCTATACCATTAACAGCATCCTTCACTGGAAATGCCAGAACTCAATATATTGGAGGGGTGTTTACATGCTTGTGACCATATAGTGTATACATATTTCTATATAATTTTTAGATGATCATATACATTACTTAAATATACATATATCAGATATGATTAACTTGGTGACATAGTTAACATTTTGCAACCCCCCCTTCTCTCCCTTACCCTTACTATTGCACATTTTAGCTCACCATTCTGGCGACCAAACCATTATCCACCCTGCTTTACTCAAGATTATTAAGATGTGACCAGCAAGATTTTTTTATCTGTCTTCTCATATACAGTTATAGTGCTTGTGATACTGACAAATACTGTAGTGTGAAGAGCTTGTACAAGAGGTATATTAGAAGACAATTGAAAATATTGACTTCTTTTTCTTTACATCCCTTCTGTTTGCAGGTGGCATGATCAGCTTTGATGTTTTCCCTGAAGGATGGGACAAACGCTGCTGTCTGGATATTCTTGATGAGGAACAGTTTAGCACTATTCACTTCTTTGGAAATGAGACATCACCTGTGAGTTTAAGCTTTGATGTTTACATGAGGAAACAGCATAAACAGACATTATTATCCATTGTCTAGGAATACATTGTACATCGCTTTGAAGCATTTTTGTGTATTCTGTATTGAAAGAAAATTACCTAAAAAGACCCTGTTACCAACTTAAAATGCAGGTGAAAGCACAGCAAAATCAAGCATTTTAAAAGATTACTTGCAGTATTTTGTCTTTTTACATAAATGTTTTTTTTTATGAAATGCAATGTGCTATTGCAATGAACTTGCTAGAAAATTTGACTCTTTCAGCAGAGTCAATTCCCTAGCATAGGCCCCTTTCACTTTATACATCATAGCCAAACAAAGAAGCCAACAGGGTGCTGAATCAGTAAATGTAACAAAGTTTAATGGCACAACGATTTATCGACTTACATGACAACTTGCAGTAATCAACTTTAGTATAGGAGACAGAGGTTCAGAAGCAAGAAGACACTTGAAGCTGGATGGTGAAAGCCCAGTCCGTCAAACCGAAAGCTTAGATGCAGCTGAAAATCATTGGGGATGACAAACTCCACCTAGACCAGTGTTTCTCAACTCCAGTCCTCATGGACCCCCAACAGGTCATGTTTTCAGGATTTCCATTATTTTGCACAGGTGATTTGATCAGTTTCACTGCCTTAGTAATTACCACAGCTGTTTCATCTGAGGAAAATCCTGAAAACATGACCTGTTGGGGGTCCATGAGGACTGGAGTTGAGAAACACTGACCTAGACCATCTGTGTTAGACTGAGAGATGGTCTAGGACAGGGGTATGGAATTAAAATTCATAGAGGCCCGATCAGTAAAATTTTTATTCATCAGAGGTCCTGGTCTCATATTGTGCCAGATCTTTCATATCACAGCCCCTCCCCATCCGTACATTGCATTTTCCCCTTTACATTACAGTCCGGCCCTTTATATTGCAGCCTTTTTCACATCAGTCTCCCCTTTACACCACAGCACCCTCTTTTTACATTGCATAACCCCCCACGTTACATCACAGTGCCCCACTTTATATCATAGCACCTCCACTTTACAATATCCCCCTTCACATCATAGCACCACTTTGCATTACAGTGCCCTTTACAACACAGCGTGCTCTTTACATCACAGCACTCTCCTTTACAATACAGCCCCCCTTTACATCACAGTCCCCTCCATACATGACAGTGCCCCCCTTTACAACACAGGTCCCCTTTGCATCGCAATGTCTCCTTTCCTTCAGTGTCCCCAGTCCCTCTTCACATCACAGGTTCCTTCCTTACATCACAGACCTCCCCCTTTACATCAGTCCCCTTCACAGCCCCCTACCCTTTATTTTCATCCCAGTCCCCTTCACAGCCCCTCCTTTACTTGCATCTTAGTCCCCTTCACAGCCCTTCTTTCTTGTATACCAGTTCCCTTCACAGTGCCACCCCCCTTTCCTTGCATCCAAGTCCCCTTCACAGCCCCCCATACCCCAGTCCCCCTCACAGCCCCCCTTTCTTGTATCCAAGTCTCCTTCAAAGCCACCCCCAATCCTGCACCCCAGTCCTCACAGCCCCCCTTTCTTGTATCCAAGTCCCCTTCACAGCCACCCCCCATCCCTGAACCCCAGTCCCCCTCCCAGCCCCCCTTTCTTGTGTCCAAGTCCCCTCCCAGCCCCCCTTTCTTGTATCCAAGTCCCCTTCACCCCCCATCCCTGCACCCTAGTCCCCCTCACAGCCCACTTTTCTTGTATCCAAGTCTCCTTCACAGCCCCCCCATCCCTGCACCCATCCCCCTTTCTTGTATCCAAGTCCCCTTCACAGCCACCCCCCATCCCTGAACCCCAGTCCCCCTCCCAGCCCCCCCCTTTCTTGTGCCCAAGTCCCCTCCAAGCCCCCCTTTCTTGTATCCAAGTTCCTTTCACCCCCCATCCATGCACCCTAGTCCCCCTCACAGCCCACTTTTCTTGTATCCAAGTCCCCTTCACAGCCCCCCCATCCCTGCACCCATCCCCATTTCTTGTATCCAAGTCCCCTTCACAGCCCCCCCCCATCCCTGCACCCCAGTCCCCTTCACAGCCCTCGCCCTTTCAATGTATAGCAATCCCCTTCACAGCTCTCCCCCCTTTCCATATATACCAGTGTCCTTCACAGCTCCCTTCCCTTTCTTGTATACCAGTCCCTTCACAAACACCCTTTTTTGTTTCTAAGTTCCTTTCAAAGCCTCACCTTCTTTACATCCTCCAGTCTGCATTACATGAAAGCCCTCTAACTTACGTCTCATTTCCCCCTTCCAATTAGAGTCTCTCTATAACCCTTTTAATCCTAACTTGCACAGAGGTTGGTGGGTGGGTGGCGTGGCTTGTCTGGATGGAGGACCAGACTTCCCAGGTTTTTCTATTGGTGAGGACACCTAGGCTGCTGGGTGGCAGCACTGCAGTCTGGATAGGACTGTCATTCGGTCCGTATTCGGACCTCGGTCTGCCATTTGGTGACGCCTGGTCTAGGAGTTTTTTTCATACTTGGAACAAAAATGAACTGCATGGTTCAGTGGCCAGAAAGAAACCTTTACTGTGCCAATGCCACAAAAAAGACCAGTGAGGCATGTCAAGGTGTTGAGCATTTTGTAACCAGGCTTTTTTGTGACAATGATTAAGTAAAGGCTTCTTTGTGGCAACTTGACCATGCTGTTCATTTTTGTTCAACCATCGTAGTATTGTGCTCCTTCAAAACAACCCCACCGTTTTTTCTTGAAGTTACCTGTAGATTTTTCCTTGTATCCCAAACAATTCTTCTGGCAGTTGAGGCTGCAGTCTTTCTTGGCCTACCTGACTTTGGCTTGGTAACAAGAGATCCCCAAATTTTCCACTTTTTCATAAGTGATTGAATAGTACTGACTGGCATATTCAAGGCTTTGGATATCTTTTTGTATTCTTTTCCATCTTTATAATCCTATATCCACAGTTGATCCAGGGGAAGGCAATAAATCCAGCAAAGCATGATCCAATTTGCTCCTGCAGGGGAAAAAATTCCTTCCTGATCCCCCCGAGAGACAATTGGATATTCCCTGGATCAACTTTACCTATAAATGTTAGTATCCAGTTATATTCTGTGTATCTAAGAAAGAATCCAGGCCTTTTTTAAAGCAATCCACTGAGCTGGCCAGAATCAACTCTTGAGGGAGTCTATTCCACATTTTCACAGCTCTTGCTGTGAAGAAACCTTTCCGTATTTGGAGATTAAATCTCTTTTCCTCTAGATGGTTGAACTGGATGGACTTTTGTCTTTTTTCAGCCAGACTAACTATGTATATACGTAAAGAGTGCCCCCTTGTCCTCTGTGATGACCTCAGGATGAATAACTCTACACCGAGTTCACTATATGAACCACTGATGTATTTATACATGTTGATCATATCCCCCTTAATCTCCTCTTCTTAAGAGAGAATAAATTCAGTTCCTCTAATCTTTCCTCATAGCTGAGCTCCTCCATGCCTCTTATGAGTTTGGTTGCCCATCTCTGTACTTTCTCTAGTTGCTCAATGTTCTTTTTGTGAATTGATGCCCAAAACTGAACTGCATATTCCAGATGAGGTCTTACTAATGATTTGTACAGGGGTAATATGATATCTCTCTCTCTGGAGTCTATACCTCTTTTAGTACAAGAGAGGATTTTGCTCTCTTTAGAAACCGCAGCTTGGCATTGCATGCCATTATTAAGCTTGTGATCTACCAGAACTCCCAGATCCTTCTCCACCATTGATTCCCCCAGTTGTACCCCCCTAGTATGTACGATGCATGCATATTCTTAACCCCCAAGTGCATTATCTTACATTTATCAACATTAAACCTCATTTGCCACATAGTTGCTCAATTAAACAGTGCATTGAGGTCGGTTTGTAAATTGAAGTTATCCTGTAAGGACGTTATTCCACTGCACAGCTCGGTGTCATCTGCAAAGACTGAAATGGGATTTTTAATCCCAGACCCTATATCGTTTATAAATATATTAAAAAGTAAAGGGTCCCAACACTGAACCCTGGGGTATACCACTGACAACCCTAGACCATTCAGAATATGAATCATTAACCACTACTCTCTGAATACGATCTTTTAGCCAGTTTTCTATCCATCTACATATAGACTTTTCCAAACCCGTAGACTTTGCCTTACACATTAGCCGTGTCTGGGGAACTGTGTCAAACACTTTTTCAAAATCCAAGTATACCACGTCCAACGCCATGCTTCTGTCCAAGGTTTTGCTCATTCCTCATAAAAAGAAATCAGATTTGTTTGACAACTTTTGTCTTTCATGAATCCATGCTGTCTGTTGCTCAAAATATTTTTTTCCAGCAAGAACTCATCTATGTGGTCTTTTATTAAACTATCCAGTATCTTCCCAACTATAGAAGTTAAACTAACAGATCTATAATTACTTGGTAAAGATTTTGATCCCTTTTTACATATAGGCACCACATTGGCCTTACGCCAATCCAGTGGTACTATGCAAGTCATTAAGAGTCCCTAAAAATTATAAACAATGGCTTTGAAATGACAGAGCTCAATTCTTTAAGGAGCAGTGGGTGTATGCCATCCCGTCCAGGTGCTTTATTCACCTTTATTCTGTCTAAATATTTTTGAATCATATCAGTTGTGAGCCAATGTGGATCATCTGGAGCTGTGTCAATACCAATATAGACAAGAGCTCCCCCATGCTCCTTTGTATACACAGAGCTGAAGAAGGTATTTAATAAATGTGCCTTCTCTTTGTCCCCAGTCACCCACTCTAGATTATTTTGTAAAGGGCCTGGATGCTTGGAATGGATCTTTTTACTATTAATATATTTGCAAAAGATAGCAGGACAAACCCCCAAACATTTTTCAATCTGCTGTTCGTTTTCAATTTTTGCAGCCTTGATTTCCTTTTTGCATATTCTGTTATATTCTTTGTTTTCATGTTTTATTTTTTTTCTTACAAAGATTGGTATAATATTCCATAACAGGTTTATACCTGAAAGTTTTATAGCAATGTGAATTAATTGTTATTTGAAAGCTTGCAGTATGTTTGAATTATTATTGTAAAAATCTTTTATTGAAAAACAAATGCATTTTCCTGCTTGTTATATCTCCTTCTAGGGGGGTAATGACTATGAAATCTATGCAGATCCTCGTACGGTGGGACATACAGTGACATCCCCTCAGGACACTGTACGGCGATGTCGGCAACTCTTTTTCCCTGAAAGAGACAACGAAGTTTGATTTTGGAACCCATTATGCAGATTTAACTAAATTCCAAGAGAATGGCCAGAATGGTCTTCTGTAATGAGTCATAAAACAGGCTTTGTGTCATTTCACCACCTGAAAGATGTGGCCATTGCATGGAGAAGAGCTGGCTATATTACAAATTACAATTCCATTGTTTAGTTCAGGAGCGGACTCATGTACCCCTGCTGTTACAGTATTCAAGTGCACCAGCTACTTCACTGTTAGGACAAATGTTGGGTAACTACAAGGCCACAGACATCAACATTGAGTGTTCTGCCCTGGTAACATCTACTCCAGCAGATATACATGATCAGTACATTAGTAGTTGATGAAGTGGTGGATGTTTTATTTGTCTGTTCACCAGGGTCAAAGTTGCTGCTGTTTGTGAAGACAGTCTAATTTGTTGGTGTAACCATTTTTCTATGTAAGAGCTTTACTTACATAATTAATATGTTTAGCTACACATATCTACTATGTACATAACTAGACATGTGTTACCATTTTAAATGAAATTCCAGTGGGAATGTGACATGCTTGTTTTTTTATATACAGTTATCACACTGAGCAACACATTGCAATGAATGTTTGTCACTTTTGTATTATGACAGCCAATGATTTCTACTAGTTGTTATTGCTATGTAGTCAGACATTTCAACAGTGTAACTTACTATGGATGGAACGGTTTTGTTTATTTCTCAGTAATATGCAGAAGCATAAACCAAACTACTTAATCATGAACCAAAATATTTAATGTATTCTATGTTACATAGGTGCTGTTATGGGAACTGTTCTTTATTTTATTTTGTATTTTGTTTTTCATGTGTTAACTAATCCAGTCCCCTAACAGTCTATGTTTTAAGAAATGTTTGTGGCTCTCAGCAGTGCATTTTAAATGTAGATGTTTCTGGTTGTGGTTCATGACTGTGTAGTGTATTTGGGTATAGATGTTGAACAGTGGGCACAGACTTTGTAGACAAAGATCTACTGGACTATAGCCTTGCATGCGCAAAGCTTTCTAGGACTCATCACAGAGCACCCATTAGTGAAAAGCAGAATACATAGTTATAAATATTTTCAAATTGTCTCTAGGCCCCCAGGTACACACTTCAGATAAAGTTTATGAACCCATTGGAATGACTCCTAAAATGTGATCTGATTTTCATCCAAGTCACAGTAATGGTTATAGACAGTTTTATGTACAAACATAACATTATGTTTTAACCTCTTGCTCTCCTGAGGATTTACCCCCCTTCCTGACCAGGCCATTTTTTCCGTTACGGTGCTGCGTTATTTTAACTGACAATTGTGCGGTCATGAAATGCTGCACCCAAATGAAATGTTCATCCTTTTTTCCCCACAAATTGAGCTTTCTTTCGGTGGTATTTGATCACCTGTGCGGTTTTTTATTTTTTGCACTATAAAAAAGCGACAATTTTGAGAAAAGAACTATTTTTTTACTTTTTGCTATTAAACATGTCCAGTAAAAAAATAAAAAAAATATAATTTCGTCATAAATTTAGGCCAAAATGTATTCTGCTACATGACTTCGCTAAAAATAATCCCAATACGTGTAAATTAATTGGTTTACGTGAAAGTTATAGCATTTACAAATTGCGGTATAGATACTGGAATTCTATTTATTTATTTTTACTAATAATGGCAGCGGGCATTCTGACACTGGGGGGAACTGACTTGGTGTCACTGACATCCCCAGTGACACCAATACAGTGATCAGTGGTAAAAAAAAAAGCATTGACACTGTACTAATGGCACTGTGCAGGAAGGGGTTAACATGAGGGGCGATAAAAAGGGTTAACTGTGTGCTGGGAGTGTTTTACTGGGGGGCGATATGTTGGTGCTTCATTGTAAGCACACTGCTCTGGATGGCTGTGCTGTGCACAACCATCCAGAGCAGTGTACCCAAACCAACAGGAGAAGGACTGGTAGTAAACAAAGTGGCCCTCCTCCCTGTAGGAGATTCTTGGTAATCACCGGGCGCCGGCGGGTAATCACTGGTCGGGACCTGGTAATTGGCAGCCGCAAACGGCGGCACGGGTAGGGCGCGTACGCGCACCATACTCGGAAATGCAAAATCACGTGTATATAAGTGATTTTGTGTACCCCTGCCGCCCTGTAGCAGTATATCTGCTATAGGGCGGCGGGGAAGCGGTTAAAAGTGATATCATTAATAAACATGCGGTTAAACAATTAAACTCACACCATCTACATTCTGGGCCACGCACCTGCATTCACACACATGTCATATTGGGAACAGTAGTTGTGTCCGTACAGCCACTGCATCCCAATAGACATCAAGGGGGCTGCCTCCCATGAGGATAAACATGGCCCTCACATGGGGTGGGCAGTGATACACCCTGTGTGAAGGAGACTTTTAGGTAACTGATGGTAAAAGCATCTAAAACCTTATATTAGGTAACTACAGGAACTGATTTGACTGGACATACCCTCAAACCCTGTAAGCCAAAAAATGTGGCTGCGGATCAGCTCAGGCAGTGTTTAGGAAGTATTCTGGCCAGGTCCTGTATACAAAGCTGTTTCACTTCCTTTTTTTTTAACAGTATGTTACTAGAACTGTTACTTGACCTCTCCACGGCTTTTGATACTGTTGACCATCCCCTCCTCCTCAAAAAACTCCACTCTCTTGGCCTCTGCTCTCTCCTGGTTCTCCTACTTATCGCAGCACTTCTTCAGCGTTACCTATAACTCTGGCTCCTCCTCTCCACTCCCTCTTTCTGTAGGGGTCCCTCAAGGTTCTGTCCTTGGACCCCTTCTCTTCTCCATCTACACCTCCTCCCTTGGTCACTTGATAAACTCCCATGGCTTTAAATACCATCTCTATGCTGATGACACACAAATCTATCTTTCTACTCCTCACCTCACCCCTTCAGTCTCCTCTTGCATTGCTAACCTATCGGCATGGATGTCACTCAACTTCCTCAAACTCAATCTTTCCAAAACTGAGCTCTTCGTATTCCCCCCAGCCCATGCCCCCTCCCCTGACTTCTCCATCAAGATCAATAACACAACCATCATGTCCTCCCCTCATGCCAGGGTGCTAGGTGTAATCCTAGACTCCCATCTGTCCTTCCAGTCCCAAATCCAATCACTGTCCAAATCTTGTAGACTTTACCTCTGCAACATCTCCAAGATACGCCCGTTCTTAACCTTGGAAACCACTGAGCAGCTTATTCACTCCCTTGTTATATCTCGCCTTGACTATTGTAACTCCCTCCTCATTGGCCTACCTCATCGCAGGCTATCCCTTCTTCAATCTATCATGAATGCTGCTGCCAGACTCATCCGACTTACTAACTGTTCTGTATCTGCCACCCCTCTCTGCCAATCCCTCCACTGGCTTCCCATTGCCCAACAGATAAAATTCAAAACATTAACAATAACATATAAAGCCATTTATAACTCTGCCCCAAATTACATCACCGATCTTGTCTCCAAATATCACCCAAACCGTATTCTCCGCTCCTCCCATGACCTCCTGCTCTCTAGCTCCCTTGTCTCCTCCTCCCATGCTCATCTCCAGAACTTCTCCAGAGCTTCCCCCATCCTCTGGAACTCTCTACCCCAATTTATCAGACTATCGCCTACTCTGCTCACTTTTAGGCGATCTCTGAAAACCTATCTCTTCAGGGAAGCCTATCCTAGCCCTCAGCTAATAATGGAATCATCTACTCCTCCTACCAGTCCATCCCCCGCAGTTACTACATTTTGTACCACTAGCCCCTCCCTTTTAGATTGTAAGCTCCAAGGAGCAGGGACCTCCTAACCCTCTTCTATTGAACTGTATTGTCTCCCGTTATATTGTAACGTGCTGATCAAACTGTTGGCGCTATATAAATCCTGTATAATAATATTAATAATAATCATAAACTGAGGTCAGGACTCCAAATCCACTCTGGACAGTTTTTTTTTTTTACTTATTTTTGCCACATTTAGACTAATGTTGAAACAACAACCAATTTTGGCCATCATTTGGTAGTGTTAAGCACTGCACAAACCATTACTGTCAGTGGCATTAAGCTTGAGAAAATAGGATCACTTTTTTTTACTTATTTTTAAATTATTCCCTCTATTTACATCTCACCTCTTTATGCTAAGTTCACATTACTGTAGCTGTGTTCTGTAGAAATGTGGGGGAAAAGTCCCCAACCTTCTGTTTAAAAATGCGCTGCGCCGAGCTGCATGGTGTTGTGGCACCATAAGGTTTGGCGAACACAAAAATGCACTTTGTTAATGTGTGGGGGTTGCCTCTAAGAACTGATGGCATCCCAGCATGTCTGCTACAGAGCAGAGTGTTTGGCTATGGGTCGGTTAAGTGCACGATTTTGTGCATGTTCTTGACCTCTAGTATCTACTGTACCTTCACACATGAAAAAAATCAATTCCTTTTCAAATTTTTATAAAATAGGAAACTTAAACATGCAAACATTGTTTGAGCTGGGAAGCTAGCAACTGTAAATAGTTTTTTTGATACAGTAATATATTTAAATCTAAAAATAGTGATACATTGGAGATTTCGATAACAGTTATTTTTTTTTTTAATTCAAAACTGATAATCTCTGCATCACATCAGTGTGAGTCCATGGGAAACAATGGTTCTGTCACTCATGCAGTAATTTTGAGGAGACTGTTCTTTGGTCCGATGATAACAGACACACAATCCTTGATATGAATAGCCTGTGCTACTCACCAGTCAATTTATTTGAAAGGAATGCGCAGCTGTAAACTCACAGTGCACTGGTGGTTATAGATATATATAAATACATATATATATATATATATATATATATATATATATATATATAAACACAAGAGAAGAGAACACAGCATCAAAGCCCAAAAATGAGAACTCCCTTTAATTGTACACAACAGTTGTGCCAATTAAAGCTCAGCTTGTAGGGCAGCCTTGGGAGATTCACAAAATTCAAAATGGCCATTACATTTTAAAAAAAGTAATTTAAATTTTGTGCAGTTATGGTACTTTGGTATCTTGGTTACGACATGCGATAAAGGAATACTGTTTATATGTTTAATGCTGCTAAAATATACATGTATTATTACAATTGGAAACAAAATGCTTTCAATTATCATGAACTGTGAAAAAAATTATTTCTACTAAGAAATGTAACTATATTATACTTGATTTGTCTAATAAATTGATATAATTAAAAATGTATTAAAAGTGCTGTTTTTCCCAAAAATATTTAAAGAATAAAAACACAAACAGTCAAACTAGTTTTATTGCATTTTCATTTATTTATTGCCAACACATAAACAGTAAAACAAGCTGACACAATTCTCTGGCTTGTAAACGCACATAGACATATGAATTCTTGTATAAAAGTCTTGGCTACAAGGGAAAGACGGAGAGCATGTATCATAATTATGTGAATAAGAAACCAGATATAAGTTTTATTCCTGATGAAAAAAATACTCAGCAAATGTAAATTAATCAGTAAAACTACTGAATGGTTGACAAATCTTTCCTACAGTGAATGGATCACATCTTTGATAGCTGGTACTGATTTAGGGTCATATTCTACTATGAATTATAATAACTTGTATACTTGGGAAAATTGCTCAAGAGAAAAAAAAAAACAGCCAAAAGTTCATTATAAGTAGTAGGTACCCAGTGATAAACCTGTTTGTTCTCTCACAAAGTAAAAAACAGCAGTTATTCACAATCTCATTTCTAGGTGGCAGAACTGGGTTTATGGATTAATTTCACGCAAAACTGAATACAGATTAGTTTTGTGTACAAGTATAAATATAATTGAAAACTGTATTGCAGATACCAATTAAAAAGGAATGCAACTGATAAAATTATAAGGAAATAGTGTGGTTAATAAAGACCACACAGCCATCTAACAATAAGAGTATTTAATTTTGGATAATTTACCTGGTCTTCTCTCATAGGGGATTGGCTAAGACCCCAATATTAATTTATGTTTAGTTTTTTTTCTACTGTAAGGGCCCATCACTTTCGGGCTTCTCGCCTATAGGTACCCCCATAACCACAGCCTCCTAGGATATCACGTGTCCCTGGAAGCTTCATGGCATTTACCAAAAATGCACATGTACTGCATCATCGGGGGCGTGCTTCAGAAATCAGGAAGAGACAGCCGGCTCCTACTGACATCAAAGAGAAGATGGTGATGCGTGACCTGGTATGCAGTTGTGGAGTGGTGGATTACCATACAATACAGCTGGATTCTTTGAGTGTGTGAGTATATTTTTGTAGATAACACAGCAACAAAGGTAAGGAAGGGTGGGGGTCTTTAAAAAAAAAAAAAATAAATAATTACACAGGTTGCAAGTTCTTCAGTTATCAAATGTTTTTCGTTTGACCAAGCCATTATTACTGGGCATTTCTTGCTGTAACAATAGAGGATGGGACAGTGGTCAGTCTCAAAGGAAACAGACTTGAACAACTTTTTTTCAAGGCTCCCCAACCTCTCGTGTGGAGATTTTCCATTAGCTATCACTATTTTCAATAATATTACAGGATCCTGTGTGGCCTGCCTGATTGGTTTAACACTTGTTCCTAGATTGCTGTTCTTCAGTATCATTGTCCACATCCTTTTTGTTTAAGTGCTTTGATAGTCAATATTAATAGAAATGCTCAGTGAAAGTACTGCAGCAGTCAGTTACACTCATGGGTGTTGATTTACTAAAGGCAAATAGACTGTTCACTGTGCAAGGGAATTTCCCCTTAGTTTAGTGAATGTGGTAAAAAATTATTTTAAAAATAGTATCTGATCACATTCAAGAAAAAACAAAATAAAACAGTGTTTTTCAAAGTACATGATTGAATGATGGAAGTCAACAGAGCTTTACCTCATTCCCTAAGCTAAGGGAAAATTCCCTTGGAAAGTAAAAATGCCCTTTCACACTGAAGAGCCTATTAGCCTTTAGTAAATTCACCCCATGATGTGAAAGTTCTGGCAAAGCAGTGAGTATCCTGAAGAATTATGGCAACAAGGGTCTGTAGTGAAAACGTTTTTTTATTTATATTGCACCTTGAGA